ACGATACTAATCTATTTTTTAGAAAAGGATTCCTTTTAGTTTTTGAGATATATGGCTGTGAATATCGTTGATTATCGTTTGGAAAAAGCGAAGTGGTCCTGTTATTTTACGCATTGAGTAGTACATAAAAAGAAACAAAATGCATAACGCAGACAAAGATCATTGTATGACGTTTTTCTTTGATTATAGAACAAAAAAAACCATAAAATAGTTTTAGTATTTTCGCAAAAGAAAACCGCGAAAATGTTTTCGTTATAATGATGTACACAACAAAGTTCACAATAACAAATGAGAACACACAAAAGAAATCTGGTTGTCATCAGCAGGAAAAAAGATATATCTTAAAAATAACAAATGAATACAGAAATGAATTTGTTTATTTTCAGATGGTGTTTATCTCAAAACTTGCTCTTAAACTTTCCTCACAATAGATGTTATATCCAATGCCATTGTAGAAACATTTCTAACAAAAACGTTTAGATCTTGTGATAACAATGATGATACAGGTTGATCTGTTTTAAATGCATTCATAATTGAACATATTTCTGGAAGAGATATAATATTACATTTATATATTTCTATCCAACCTGGACAACACGAAAATATATATTTTTCAATACATGCACCGGATTCTTTTACATTGGTTTCTGCATAATCAATTGGTGTACTTAAGTTATAATTATTTTCTATATCACGTAATAAGGCATGCATACTTTCATAAAAAATTAATGTTAATAAATCCAATTGTAATAATTCAAATGGTGGAAATGGATTGTCATATTTATACTGTAATTGTAATAATAAATGTACTTTGCTTTTGCAGGAACCACCAATCATTAGAGGCAGTGACTAGCATTGTGATGACGCAAAGGAGCAGAACTTTGATTACCGTTAAGAGTACTCCCCCCTCTTTTTTGCAGAAAAGTTGTCATTTTGAGCTGAACATAGTCTAACGTAGAGGAAAGCCTTGGCTATAAAATGAGACCACTCCCAGCTCTCCATGACCTTCCTTGAAAAACTTATGCAGTTTTTGAGTTTTTCCTTCAAAGTCTAGAAAATCTCAATTGTTTAGGTTCGTAAAGTTTTCTCTCCTTTCCTATATATTCAAAATTTTTTCTTATATATGATATGATAGAAGAAAGTGTGCTCTTCAAAATGAGATGTTTTCCAGACTTTTCCGATGAGTTCTCGTAGAGATATAAGCATTAATTTTCGTAAAACTCCCTTTTCGCTAGATTCTAAGAGCTTTTTTTAAACACAAATATACCCACGAGACTCAGCGTGATCGATTACCCATAGTCCATTCGTTTTCAAGGCTGCCAATACCCATCAAGTGCATCCCGGGCTATCAGCTCATGGAAAAGGATGAATACAATCCTATTCGAAAATGTTTACACACGATGTCTTTTTCCATCCTGTGCCGCTTCATCACACCTACGTTTCCTAAGCATATAGATAACCAAGAGCGGAAGAGTAAAAATAATAGAATCTATCAGAAATCCAGAACTGAGTAGCAGTTCTCTCAATACTTTGAGCACAATCTGCCCAACAGTAAGATGATGAATATCGCCGAAATTATCCATTCCTATCAACACTTCTAGAGAAGCGGCATGAAGTAACTCATTTTTGCTACGGTGATACGTGAAATTTTCATTCGCAGATTGCTTAATGTGGCTACTTTCTTGAGAGATAATGTCCAATATGACAGGCTTAGTCACTTCTCTTTCCACCACCATGCCGATGAAGTTCTGCTCTTTACTGAGGTAAGCACGATTTATGCTTTTCATTGATCTGAACAACTTCCTTAATCCTGTGAAGGTAGCTACTCTAAATCTCGACCCATAGAAACGTGAGGTTATTGACGACATAGTGTGATCGATCCTTTTATTCCACTGAATGCCTCTTGTCTCACAATCAGCCATGGCTCTGTTTCCAATATCTTTACGTTTCTCACGGAAACGTTGTGGCAAACGTCGATTTGCTTCGTCGCCAATCCTGTCGACGCCGTCCCGGTATTGCTGAAAAAAGTGTTCACCCCCTTGTAATACATCGTCGCGCAATCTGTTCCATTCATCACGTGAACGTCGGTTGGTGAGAAGAATAAAATCGAAAAACGCATCAATACTTGCATGAGCAATACTGATCACAAATTTTGATGGTCGTAAATCATGTTCGGCAGCGTAAAGAATAATACGATCGATCGCTCGTCGTTTCATTTCGTCGACATTGATTAGCAGCTTGTAGCGACATAAACGTTCTTTTTCCAATAGTTTCTCATCATCATTATCATCAGCATCGTCGTCGTCATCATTAATAGCGTTTTTTCGTATAACGGTTACATCAGGTTTCATATTGAGAAAGAAAATATCGACGCCCAAAAGTTGGCTATGCCGAGCAACTTTCAATTGTTCGTCACATTTACGTGAATCATCAGAAACCGTTGCATTGTCGTAGAGAAAAACTAAAGTCGGACGAACGCTGGCCAACAATGCAAGCAAATTTTCACGTAGAACAGATGCATCCGAACTGAGAAAGCCTGGCGTGTCGTAGACATGCAAACCCAGCTCGAGAGTTGGCGAAGGAATACGAATTTCGATGAGACTCTTTGCCCAACAGACGAATTCATTAGAGTTTTCGTCAAAACCTTCTGGTCGTCTCAAATGTATCTTGATGAGTGTTCTGAGAGCCTTAGTACGCGTTTTGGCCGTCTTATTGTCCTTGAAACAATTCGACAAATCAACTTGATCTTCAACCTCCGTGTGATTGACCACCCTGCTATATTTGATGAGGCAGGCGTCTTCCGATGGTGCATAGGAGAATTTGACGATGCGCGCTATCACGGCACCCTCATCCGCTGGCAAGAAGTCGCCATAGCCGAGAAGTTTGTGAATAAATGATGCTTTGCGTGACGGTAGCCACAAACAGCTAGTTGAACTTGTTCAAGCGGTTTAAATTCGTTCAAGATACTTTTCTTTTCTTCGTCGGGAAAAATGTCAGTTTATAAAATTGTTAGAGGCTTCGCGCCTTCGTACTTAACAGCCTTCGTACCAACCAAAAATAATCGATATGAATCTCGTTCGCAATATGATACTAAGGTACCTAATATTTTCTCTTCTTCAACGAAATTCAAAAATTCCTTCTTTCCTCTAACAATCACTTTTTGGAACGCCTTGCCGTCTGATATCAGAAATTGTAAAAGTTTACTTAATTTTCGATAATCACTGAAGAATTTTTTGTATAAAGCTCCACTGGTTTATCGAGTTTGTGACATACCTCGTGAAGCTGATATTATTTATAATCAGATTCGAACAGGTTTTTCCCAGTTGGTAGTGTCTCCTTACATGACACTACCTTGCTTTGACTGCAATGCTCTCACTAATGCACATGTTGTCATCATTTCACATCTTTTTATTGATTCTCTTATCAACATTTTGATTGGCCAATGAATCAGTTTATTCCTTTGCAGGGATTTACTAATGATTCACACTTCAAACACATCCAAATCTGATTCAGTGGGAAATAACGACAGCTGGACGAAACGTCAACGATTTCGACTCTCCATCAAGTCATCTTAACCAATAGTTTCTTTGTATATCTCCCTGTTGTCTGTCTCGATTCTGTTTTTTATTTATTTATATTTTTATACAGTTTATGACCTGAAAATGACAGTAAAAGGTTGAGAATTTGTCGATAATATAATATAATTATGCTGTTAATCTATCATTTATCTCGCAATCTATCCATGAATAGTTCATAACTTTAGCAGTTGCCCGTTAGTTATACAAAAGAAAAACAAACGTAGCATTGTTCACCATGTGTCATCAATTCTCTTTTATATTCTTTTATACCGCTATTGTTTTTTGTTTCTTTTTTTTCTAGAGTTACAGTTTCAGAAAAAACAACAATTGAGGAAAAGAAACAGAATAACAATAAGCAAGTTCATGGTGATAATATTTGAAAAATAGGAAAAAAAATTAATAGAATTACAGAAGAGTATAACAAGAAAAAAAAAATTAAAACAGTAGGAAAGTAAAATTGTTCATTTCATTTTTAGTCGAGATAATGAGGAAAGGTAGAAAATCACAGAGAAAAAACAAAACAGTGTTCTTTTTTTTATCAAATTTCGGTTGGACATTATTGCACGAAAAAAGAAAAAAAAGAAACAAATAAAAATAACAATAAAATGATAACAAATTTTAAACAATTTCAATAAAAAGCACCGCATCCTTCTTCTTCATAAGTCATCACTATCAACGAGAGAGAGAGATGAGAAAAAGGACAAAAAAAAAAAATAGATTAAATCAAAATTTTTCTTTCAGACTTAACTTTGCCTATGAGAGAATACAAAATGAGTTTAATACATTTCGTTAGGAAGCTGACTCCGTCAATACTTTTCGTTTCCATGACCATTTAAGTCTCGAATTTGATTCATCACATTTTTCCATTTGAATATGCTTATTATCAGTGGATAATGCCAAACACAAAGATGATACTTGATGAAATATACGACCGTTCTAAAGAGAAAAAAATTAATTAATTTACAGAAAAAACGATTTTTTAATAGTTTATTTTACCTCTTTATATGTCCAATGTTGATTGCCTTTCATTCCATGACCTAAACAATTAGAATTTTATATTAAACTTGTATTACTCAAGTAACGATAGATACATACATGGATAGACAATAATTTTATCATCTTTTCCTACTTCATGTACACCACCCGAAAAATCTAAACAACCATCATCTCGTCTAATTTCACCAAG